AGAAAAGAGTCAAACTGAAAAAGTCTGAAGGAACCTTAGGGTCCACTATAAAAAATAAAATAATAATAATTAAACATAATGCATGGAACTTGGGAACCTTGGGTGCCATCTCATAATCTTTATCTCCTCAAACCCCAGAGGCGAGTGAGTGGCCAGACTGTGAGCCCCAGGCTCTCTAGGCTGAGGCTGCCTGTGACCTTGGGTGTGGTCAGCGGTTGTCCTAAGGAAACTGAAGCAGGACCTAAGGCTTCCCCCAATACTCTTGGGCTGGGGCGGCTGCAGGCAAGGGCTGACTGTGGATTAACTGGCTACTATTGAAATCTTGTCCCCAGGGGCTCCTTTTAAAGCCACTGCCCCCCCCCCCCGCGGAGTGGGAGGCATTTACACGGGAGTTTGGGGCGAGGTGTCCTTCCTGAGACCCGAGTGCTAAGGGTCTTTGAGGCCACGGGAGCCCCTTCTCCCATCAGTTTGCACAGATGTCAGACTCCTGTGCTCCGATTGTTGCAGTAGCCTGGGACCAGGTCTCCGCACGCCCACACCCAGGCCTGCGCCCTCACTCTCTCCTCAGCTCGGCTCCCCGTGCCCCCTGACCTGGACCTGTCCCTTCCCCTTCCCCACAGTCCCTTACTCCTCCGGGCCACACGCCTCCARCGCGGGCCCCACTCAGGCTCCGCAGGCCTGTGCGCATGGACGAAGCTGCCCAAGGCCCTCCTGCGGCTTCACTGCTGGGCGGATTTCCAGTCACCTCCGCCACCTCGTCTGCGGGAGGACGCCTCTTCTGAGGAGCCTCCGGGGCTTGCTCTGCCCTGGCCTCCTCTTCCTGCCTCTGGCACCCGGGGTGAGTGAGTGAGCGAATCCTGGCACACAGGAGGGCTGGTGGCCCAGCAGCTGCCACTGTTGGGACACCAGAGCGCTCTCCTGCTTCCGCAGTGACGGTGGCACATGGGAGGCCGCCGCCCCCTCCGCAGGACGGCTCCTTTGGGCCGGGTGGGGGGCAGGCTCTCGGGTGGATGTAAAATGTCTGAAGCCATCAGCGGCTCTGAGCCCCCAAACTAAAAATAGGAAGCCGGGGGCCTCGGGGCTGCGGTGGGCCTGGACCACACAGGTGCAGCGGCTGCGGATGTCGCGGGCTGCGTCCCCGCCCCCAGCCTGCGGCCGCGGAGGCGGAGGGCTCCTGGACTTCTGCCAGGACGGTCACTCCGGCTCGCGGCCTCTGCCTCCGCCCTCTCCTGGGTGGGGGGCAACCGGCCCACGAGCTGAGGTCCCCACTCAGGTGGCCGGGCGAGGGCTGCCCCTGGGCTGTGCTGGGCTGCTGTGTGGGGCAGGGGAGGGGACAGGGCTGGTGAGGCGGATCCGGAGCACACGCCTCCGCCTCCGTGCTCAGCCCTGCCCTCCTCGCTGCGTCGGCTCCATCGGAGGCTCCCCGCGGCGTGTGTCACCGTCACAGTCACACCCTGCCGGGGTGGCCCTTCCCAGAACAAGAGCCAAGGCCGTTCCCGCGGCCAGAGCCCATCCTCAAAGGGGGGCTGGCTGGGGTCTCGGGGCCACGTCCCCCTCGCACGCTGCCAGGCACAGGCCAGCCCAGCACAGTCCCCCCCGGGGACCCCTGCGGGCACCGCCGCTCAGCCTCCCACCGGGTCAGCGCAGGCTGTCCAAATCAGAGGGGTCCCTGTGGCCTCTGAGATGGAATTCCGGGATCCTAGGGGGTGGCAGAAATGGCCTCTTCACCCTGGACTGGCTGCCGGTGGCTCAGGGGACTCTGAAGCCAGCCCTCCCCTCCAGCCAGGTAAATCCCGGCCTGAGGCGGGGGCTTTGGGGTTCAGGGTCCTGTGACTCTGCCACAACCTGGCACGCGGCAGTGAGTATGGGAGTCCAGAGGGCAGCTGGCGGCCTCCCCAACCCTCCTCCAAGGAGGCTCTTTCTGGGCCTCGCCGGGACTCTGGCGCAGGAGGCGGGCCCTGCTCACCCTTCTCTGGGGGTGTTGGGGGGGGGGGGCGCTGGCTGCGGCGCCACCTGAGGCCCTGGGCTGCCGCCCCCTGCAGGCTGCGGCGGCTACTGCGGCGCTTCCTCCCACAGGGGCCACCTCCAGCAGCTGGGGCTTCTCCGGGCGCCCGCTGCCGCCTGGCAAGTGGGGCACAGGGGATGGGGTCAGAGGCTCTGGAGTTCACAGCCTCTGCCATCAGCTCCTACAAAGTGACCCCCCTTCCCCAGGGGTAAAAACCCACTGAGGAAGCGGCGCTGGCCATGTGGGCACTGCTCACAACCTGCTCTGCTGACCCCTCCGAGGTGCGGCGGACACGCGGAGAAACCGCAGCTGTGCCTGCTCAGAAGGAACCTGCTGGTCCCTGTATGCTGGGGTGAGGGGTGATCAAAGGTTTAGGTTAGGGAAATGGGAGCTTCCTGTTGGGTGCTGGGTTTAGGTCTCAACCCACTGAACAGGGCAAAATTTGGGGATTAGTTTTAAAGTGGGCATCATTCAAAGGTCTGTTTATGAGAGTTTCCCTTCTGCATATCCCAAATGGCTGGCACAGGGCTGCTGTTGGGTCCTGGGGTGGGAGAGGCTGGGCTTCCTTGCTGGCAGGGCCAGTAGGGGTTTGTGGAGCCAGGTCCCTTCACATTAGCCCTGTGGCCCCACAGTCCAGGTCCCTTCACATTAGCCCTGCGGCCCCAATCAGACGTGAAATCCTAAGCACTCCCTCAGGAAACTTCAGGCCCCTCTTCTACAAAATTGGGGTGCCCCAGAGCTGCCTACTCTGCCATCTCATTGCTGTGCACTAGCCACAAATCCCAGAGGGGGCTCTCCCCAGGTGCCCTCTCCCTAAGTCTGCATCTGGGGAACAATCTGGGACAATGTGCAGTGTCTTCTATGGGGTGAACACATGCCACTGAGAGGGGAGGAGTGGTGGCACCTGGAAGGCTTGCCTGAGGTTCTTCATGGTCCTGGCCACACGGGAAGGACTGGCGCTGTCCTTGGGCCACAGGGGGTCTCTGCCACCATTCCTGATCGAGCTGGATGGGAACGAGGCATGGGCCCCAGGCTCCCCTGAGCAGCAGCCTTGCCCTGCTTCCTCCTGGCCAAGGACAGGAGGCCCCTGCCCACCCCACCCCCATGCCAATGCCCACCGCCCTAGAAGCCTGGCACGGGATCCTTCAACATATCTGTTATATTATTGTAACAAATCAAAATTCCATTTTACAGTTAAATAGTACAGAAGACGGACAGTTTACTGTACAAGCAAGTTGTGCATGAAAAACAAACACACCAAGCAAACAATAGTGCAAAGCAGTTTCTCTCCCCCCACCCTCCCCGCCAGTTCTGGGACCGTTTTACACAAGACGTGAGCACAGCAGACACCAAGGCCTCAGCGTGACAATATGTCACAAAGGATTTGCACCCGCTGCCCACGTGCTTACAGTAACGTTGGCTCAACCCCTTCCCCTCCTTGTGCTTTCCAGTCAGTGTGTTCGCCCAGCACAACTTTAAACCAGCCTTGCAAATAAGGACCCATCTCTGCCAGCCCGGTTGTCTGTACCCACTGTGGGCCTGACAGATTCCACCTGGCTGCCAGCATTGCTCGTCAGGGGTGGGGTTGGAGATCAATTTATTTCCTGTCCCTGCCCCACTCGGGGCTTGGGTATCAGGAAGGGGTAGTCACTTGGGGAGGGGCTACAAAGTGCTGGGCACTGGGAACCCAAAGGCGCCTCCCCCACTGACCTGGGCCAGTTTATGACCACAGAATGGGAGTGAAGCAGGTAAGAGGGCAGTGGACTTATAGCTGCTTCCTGAGAAGGGGTGGAGAGGCCCCCCTCTGGGTGCAGGGAGTTTGTAGGACACCCCCAGCCACTATTTTGAAGAGATGGTGAATGCCTTTATTCCAGTGAGGGCAGGACAAGTGCTATGATAGAGACCATCACAAAGGAGCAGGATAGGGGACTTTTCATATCCACAGAGGATGTGGCAGAAGCAGTCATGAAAAGTCACCTGCTCGCCAGCCCTTGTATGCTTCCTGTTCCTTTCCTTGGTCCTTTCTGGAACTAAGGAACTCAGGTGTGAGGACTTTGCAGCCTGAGCCCCTGGGCAAGGCCTGCTTCCTGTCTGCAGATTCCAGAGGTGACCTCCTAGCACAGGGTGGCTGAGCCAGGACTGGGGAGTCCTCCACCACTGTTCTGCTGTCACACAGCCAGTGCCACCCTCCCCCCCACCTCCTCCAGGACCAATGTCTTTGAACACAGATGTGAGATTCCAGCACCTCTGGAACTTCACCACCGGGTTCTCGCAGGGCCCCCTGGGGAAGGTGCAGCTGTGGGATCAGGACATCTGCAGGTGGTAGGATCCCAATGACCCCACTCAGAAGGCAGCCAGGGGTGGGGGTGCTGTTCCCAGCCACAGTGCTTCATCTGTAAGGGCCCTTCTGTTTGAAAATGTTTGACTAAAGCTTTTTCTAAAATCAAGGTTAAAAACTGGTTTTGGTTCAAGACTGTTCACTTCTGCAGTGCAACAGAGGGGCGTGGCCAGGCCATCCCAGACCCAGCGCACAGGGCCGCGGGGCTGACCTTACCGCCCCGCTTGCTGCTAGGACCTATCTGGGCCCTGAGTTTTCTCCAAAAATGGAAATGATGAAACCAGCCACCAAGAGGACAGAGGGTGGTTGCCTTGGGCTGGAAAAGTGCACGAGGGGCCGTTTGTAAGTGCGCCCCTGTATAAGGGACCTGCTGCCACAGCTCATCTGCCCCCTGGGACCCAGAGGCAGCTGGGACGGGGCGGGGGGAGGTGGGGGTACTGTAGGAATTCCGGGAAGCGGGGTGGGGCACTGGCTGGGGTGTGTTCTCTGCTCTCTGCCCGCGAGGTCCAGCCCCTCCAGTGGGCAGTGAGGGGACCCTCCGGCGGGGCGGGGCCTCCAGTTCTGACTCCTGTTAATGCCGAGGGCGGGCGGGCCCGGGGTGCAGGTGTGGTGGGAGGCCGGCCCTGGGCTTTTCCTATGGGCAGGGCCCCACCACTTCTCTGGATCGGAGATGGCCTGCGGCCCAGGAGCTAGCCCTGGGCACGGCTGGAGCCGGGCGGTGGTCCCGGGAGACGCAGGAGGACGAGTCGGCTGGGCCTGGGCTGGGGCAGTGTCCGGGGGTCCCCGCCCCCTCTGTACAAAGCCGTGGCTGGACAGGCGCGCGGGGCCGCGGGCCAGCGAGGTCCGGTCCCCCGGCGCGGCGCTCAGTAGGGCCGCCACACGGCCTCGTCCATGCGGCCCGGCGTGCTGAGGGCGGTGGGCGAGTTGCTGTGGCTGCCGTCGGCCTCCACGCCGTCGCCCTGGCCGCCCAGGCTGGGGTTCATGAGGTTGCCGGCGGGCGCGGCGCCGCTGGGGCAGGAGGCCAGCATGCGCGTGGGCGAGCGCTCGCCCGCCACCATGGAGAACTGGTAGGAGCCCGAGGAGGCGCCGTAGTAGAGGTGGTAGGGCGCCGCGTTGGCCGGGAAGGGGCCGCTCTGGCTCTGCGGCGCCCCGGGGTAGGGCGGCGGGAGGTAGGTGTGGTGGAAGCGGCTGGCGGCCGGCATGCCCGCCACGCCGAGGCCGCCCAGGCTGGAGCCCGAGGGCGCGGCGCTGTAGGGGAAGGCGGCCGACATGGCCCCGGGGTAGTGCATCCGGGGGTCCGGGAAGCGGCTCTCGGAGAGCGGCGGCAGCGCCGAGAAGGAGCGGTCGAACTGGCGCGGGTCGGAGAAGGGGGTCAGCTCCGAGGTGCCTGGGGAACAGCAGAGGAGGGTCAGTCGCAGCCAGGCCACGCGGGGCCTCCTGAGTGTGGCCCGGGCTCTGGCTCACAGGGCTCCCTAGGGGACCCCCGCCCTGGGGATCCCTGGGAAGCGCAGGGGGCAGGTGCCTGGGCCGCAGCCGAGGACGGGGCCTTGCCTTCCCTGAGCAGGTGGCCACTGAGGACCTGGCTCGGCTTGGGAGGCTCCCTGTCGAGGGCTGACAAGGCCGGGGGATGAAAAGGGCCTGTGACCCCCTTTAGGGGTCTGTTGAGATGCCCGAAGGGGACCCTGCCTCTGAGAATAGGGTGACTGAGACAGAGAGAGAGACACAGAAGGAACTGGACCTGCCTGGAGGCCCCTGACCCCTGCGGCCTGGGGTAGTGTGAGTGCCCAGGTGCACACTGGGCTCTGCGCCCAGGCTGCGGGCCTCAGCTCACATCCGGGATGGAGCTGGCGCCCTGCAGCTCTACGGGTTCTACCTGCCCGCTCTGTGCCCCTCTCCTGCAGGCTGGAGCTGACCGTGGCCACACAATGACCAGCAGCTATCCACACCTGCCTCGACAGCAAAGGAAAGACCAGTTAGAGGGACCTTGGGGTCCAGGCCCCCACTGGGCAGTGTCCAGCCTGGCCCTGTGCTGGCTCCCCTGAGAGTGTGGCTCCTCAGTGGGCTGGAAGACAAGGGCGTCCCAGCCTCTACCCTACTTTTGTGGTCACAGGCTGTGGAGCCTCACATTCAAATGGACTCTGGGACGGAGTCTAACCCAACTGGTGGAAAAATGGAGGCCCAGRGAGGGCGAGGCACGAGGACCCCACAGTACATTGGTTCTAGCATAAAACCCCAGGGATTCTGGGGTGGAGCCCCAACGTACGCCTTCTCATGATCAAGGCAGCAGAGCTGAGGCTAACCATGTGGCCTCCAGAACTGGACAGACATCCAGCTGTGTGCCCCTGGACGAGTCACTTAGCCTTCTGTACCCGTTTCCTGGGGACCACAGCCTTTTGTAAGGTTTCAGTTGACAGAGCCCTTAGAACAGAGCTGGGCACAGGGTAGTTCCTGTGGGGCTTTGCGCTGCTGCCATTGCTCTGACATCTCTTGCTGGGCCCCAGGAGAATGGGCCTTGCAGGACCCTGAAGAGAAGGGCCTGACCCAGACCCTTCCTGCACTCCAGCAGCAGCGGGGGTGGGGGAGCCTGGGAGTGTCCAGGAGCGAAGCCCATTTGGCGCCCGGCTCTCTGTCTCTCCCACCACGGCAAAGAGCCAGGAAGAGAGGGCCTAGGAAACCCAGCTCTGTCCCCTGTCCCAGTGGGGCTGGTGCCAGAGCTGGTGGGCACTGCTGACCAGGACTGAGGCCTGGCTGGGGACAGAGCGCCCAGGCCTCCTGCTTCCTCAGGTGAGACTTGTCCCTTCTGGGGCTTTGGGGTCTGCTCAGGCAGCTGGGTACACATCCCTCGGCAGTGCCTCTGGGCAGCTGGAACCTTCTGGAATGTCTGACACCCTCCCCAGTGGTCACTGGCTGGTCACTCTGCCTTGGAGCCTGGGAGGACAGAGGTGCCTGGTGGCAGCTTGCATCTAGGACCCCAGGGGAGCAGGCCCTCCAGAGAGCATGAGGTGGGCAGCTCCTTGCTGAACAGGGTGGAGGTGGTTCCCATCCTCAGGGCAAAGGAACCCCAAATGGAACCCAGTAAGGGACAGCAGGTCTGGGGCTCTGGGAACACGAGGTCCTGCAGTGGATGGCCTGGGCCTGGAGTGTGGCATCAGAGTCCGCACGCACGGGACGACAAGCTCGGCCTGCCTGGACTTGCCACTATCCGCCCTGCCTCCCTCCTCGAGGGGTGGGGGGTACCTGCCCTGGGCACGCCTTGGACCCCCCCAGCAGCTTCCTCGAGTCTCCTGTGCCACCCCCAGCCTTACCGCCCCGGGAAACCTGAGCTGGCGGCCACTGTCCAACAGCCAATTCCAACAGTGGGAGGAAATGTTTATTTTTTTCTCCAAATTGCCCCAGCTGCTGCGTGGAGGCTGAATGGGCCCTTTGAGTGGTGAGAAGCCCCCATTGTGGGTGGCTGTGGCTGGGGGGCCGGGCTCAGCACTGCTCCCCGTGACCAAGGCCAGGGGGTCAGAGCTAGTAACAGGCACCAGGGAAGTGGTGGGTGTCCTGAGGGCATCCAGGGTGCCTGAAGGGAAAGGCTGGTCCCACCCCAAGGGAGGGCCATGAGGGAYAGTCCTCATGCCTGGGCTTCCAGCATCCTTCTTTCCACTTTATAGATGAGAAAACTGAGGCTCAGAGAGGTTTGGTGACTTGCTTAAGAACACAGAGCCAGTGACAGGCAGAGCCAAGCTCGTAGCCAGGCCCACCTGACTGCACCGGTCCTGCCCCTCTGCTGGTCCTGGTCAAGGGCTCTTTCTCTACCCCAAAGGGGACAAACCTGAAGAGGGGGACTTTACGGCCCTGTGTTGTGGGTGGCTCATGAGGGGTCAGGCCCTATTTCAGGATGTGGCAGGAGGAGAAGGACGGGTCAGCCACTTGCCCTGCACAGTCTGCTGACCTCCTCTCCCCCGACCTGAGGAGAGGCAGGGGCTGGGCCTGCGGCGGGGCAGGCCAGACCCCTTGGGGCTGCGTGGAGGATGGGCAGGTCTGCTTAGGGACCCATGGGCACCGATTCCCAGACAATGCCCCTCCGGCTGTGGCAGGGCAGATTCGGTCCCCAACACGTTAGGCCAGGCTCTGCCCGAGGCAGGGGAGGTCAGCTGGGTTGGGGCTGCTGTCACGTTGAAGGCGCTGGCTCAGGGGGATGCGAGCAGGGTGTGCGGGTCCCTAGCAGCCCATCGGGGGGCCAGACCCGCTCCTGTGCTCCCCAGGGCTCGGGCTGAAAGCTGGGTGGAGGGGACTGAGCCCAGGCTAGAGGGGCCGCATCCAGCCCCCAGCTGCTGCGTCAGGCCTGGAGCACAGAGCAAGGGCTGGGCCAGGCCTCTGGTCAGCTGGAGGAGGAGGAGGGGGAGACAGGTGGGAGCCAGTCTGCAGTCCTGCTGCAGCCCCCTTCTCGAGGCCTCCTGAAGCACACTGACTCGACCTGGTCACTCATGGGCCGTGTGACCTGGGTGACTCTTAACCTCCTCAGCCTCAATTCACTGCCAAATGGGCCTCCTGCAGCTCTGCTAACTGGGAGAGAAGGCCACAGTGCTGTGGCAGCCCGCCCCCGCACCCTGCCCTCCAGCCGGGGTCCTGCCCCTGCCTGGCCACTGCCAGGCGGCAAAAGCACCCAGCCGACAGCAGCCCCCAGCCGACAGCAGCCCCCAGCCGACAGCAGCCCCCAGCCGACACGCTGGCTGAGTCCTGGAGGCCAGAACAGGCCCTGTCCACTGCCTGCGGGCACCTACACACTCTGGAAGACCTACCTGCAGTCCGGCTGCTACCTGCCTGCTGTCCCCGACTGGGCAATGGGGACAGAGCCCCAGTCCTCAGTGCCCCTGTTTGGGGGAGTCTCTGGGCAGCGGGGAGGCCTTTCCCAGACAGTGCCACGTGTCTCTCGGGGGGGCTGTCGACTCGTCACAGTCTGAGTGCAGTTGAGTCCTGTGGCCTGAACACCCCCCAGCCCTGGGAGCCCCCTCACCTGACTTTCAGATGGGAGGCTGAGGCCAGGGGAGAGTCCTGGGGCACAGAGGGGACACATCACCCCAGTTTTCACTGGTCCTCTGGAATTAACCCCATATCCTGGGCTGTGTCCGCTCACGCTGATCCCGGGGACGTGGTTTGCCAAGTCAGGAGGTGGGTGCTGGGTGGGGGAGGGGGCCCCGGGGGAGCACCCGCAGGAGCGATCTGCCCAGCGCCTCCTCCATGAACCGAGAGCAGCCAGAGCTTCTCAGAAGGGCCCAGCTGGGCAGGYGGGCCACGCCCCGGTTCCTACCTTGGATGGGGGTCTGGCCTTGGCTGCCGAAGTGGGTTGTGGTGGTGAGTGAGCCTCGGGGGCTGGGTGTGCTCGGCGTCACCCGCATGCGCAGCCGCTCCAGGTCCCCGAAGCGGTCAGGGAACGCCTTGGTCTGGTCTTCTATCTTCTGCCGGTGCCCTGGGGAGCATCAGAAGCCATCAGCCACTGGCTCCCTGGAGTCCCAGGCAACCCAGAAATGCCTCGCTCTCCTGGGAAGTTCTTCCTGAGTTCTAACCTCAGGTCTGCAGGGAGAACCCTGAGGTCACCACCAGCCTCCTCTGAGGTTTTCAGAAGACGCTCTGAACAGAGCACGGTGGTTCCAGGCCACCGGGGCTGCCAGGAGCTTGCCGCTCACTGCACAAACCGGGGAGGCGTTCTTGGACGGGGTCAGTGAAGCTGTGAACCCCAGATCCAAACTCAGGGTTCACATCAAAGTCTGTGGCCTAATGCTCCCCACCTACTGTGAGGCAGAGGGGGACACGGAGGCACCAGGCATGGGAGGCCTCCATTCCCAAGGGCAGCAGGGAGAGAGGTCAGCAGTGCCCACCTCCGACAGAACAAGAGGCCCTGCTCCAGCCCCAAGGCACAGGGACCCCCTCGTCCCTTCAGCCTCTGGCAGAACGCAAAGCCACCAGGACACCGGGCAGGGCTGGCGCACCTGAGGGAGGGGCTGGGCTGAGCTCCCGGAAGCTGGGGTCAGGGGACCAGCACACCTGGCCTGGGGCGTCACACTTGGAGACAACTGCAGGCGCTTCCCTCTGTTCTGGGCCAGCCTCACCTCCCGGGGCCCAGGGAGCTGGCAGGGTCAAGGTGGCCATGCCCCTGCCCTCTTGCAGCCTGCTGAAGGCCAAAAGAGCTCTTTTTGAATGATATCAAGCCTGCGGGGACCTTCCCCGTCACACACACACTTTTTCAGTCACTCAGGTCACATTTCGCAAGCCACAAATCAAGTTTCCAAAAGTCAAAACACTGCAGATGAGGCGTTTTGACCCATCCCAGGACCCCTCCAGAAGCCTCCACTGTAGAAGGCTCTCGACCCAGTCTTTGCTTCTGTTTTATGTGCATGGAATACAGGAAGACTCTCATGGAATTTTCTAGAATGGTGTCACCCTGGATATATCATATTGTCCCTTCCTTTTTGAGTGGCATGTCTGGGAGGACAAGCTCAGTTTCCTTACCTGTGAAATGGGGCTGAAATGCCCGACTCCCTAGGACTTTAGCCTCAATTAGTGTGTGAGGACTGCTGTGCCGATGGCTGTCCCTCGCTCTGTGTCACATCTGCCGGAGGTGCCCGTCACCTCCCTGATGAAGGTGACCAGGCCCTCTCTTACAGATCAGAGCACTGTGGATCAGAGAGGCACACAGGCTTGCCAGAGGTCACAGAGCAAGAAGTTGGTGGGATCTGTCGGACCTGGGCCCCTTTAAAAAAGTGGGGAGAAGGGGGGCTGGGGTGGTGGCTCAGTGGYAGTGCAGTGGTCTGGCATRTGTGAGGCACTGGGTTCCATCCTCGGCACCACAATAAAAAAAATAAACTAAAGGTATCGTGTCCATCTACAACTAAAAAAATATTTGAAATAAAATAAAATTAAAGTGGGGAGAAGGGGAAAGACAGAAGAAGTTTGCCCGAGTCCTGGAGTGACGCGGAAGTTTTCAGGTTGACAGAGGAGAGAAGTAGGGGGGGTATGACAGTCCCCTGCTGTCCTTGCCGGGGCTGGGAGTGGGACACAACCACCCACCACTGCCGGGAACTAAGGGCAGAGCCGGGAGCCCAGGAGAGGCCTCACTGCTGGTGTTTAAGATGGGGATACAGGGCTCTGAGCTCCCTCCACGACCTGCCACAAGTTCCAATGGGCATCTGCGAGTCAGCAGGCCACCGAGACCCAGGGAACCCTGTGTCCTGTGACAAGGCCCCTTTCCAGGAGGGACACCTGGTGGCAGGAATAGGACCATCTGGCTTCTGGCCAGACCCTCTCCCCAGCTGTCCCCTCTGCACAAGGAAGGGGAAAGCAGGGCTGGGGCTGCGAACTCAGATGCCTGGGCAGGGTGCTGGGTGAGTCACGGCAGCGGGGTGAGAGGGATGGGTGGGGAGTGGGGCGGGTGGGGAGTGGGGCAGGTGGGGAGGGGGCCGCGGGAGGCACCTGGCTGATGGCCACTGTCAGCCAAGCCCTGACAGGGCTCCAAGAAGATGCCATGGCTCCAAGAAGAAGCCACTGGACACGGCAGGGAGGCACGGATGAGGAGGGGGACAAATGAATTTAGAGTAATCTCAACAGGCAGGAAGGCAGCTGGATGGATGTGGAGACCGCAAACTGACCTGACAGCAGCTGGGTGCGAAGGATCTGGGTGTCTCAGTCAACCACAAGCCTGAAGTGAGCCAATGAGGCTACACCAAAGCTGCTGCAAAACCTCAGGCCCTGTCACTGTTGTCACTGGGGAATAAAGTCCCCATTTTCTGAGTCACACCTTGTACAGAGAGTGCTTACAGGTACCCTGTGGCTGGCGGAAGGAGGGCAGGGTTCACAGCAGCCCGGGTTTGAGGCCCGGCCCTGCTGCCTGCAGCCTGCTCAAGTCGCATGCCCACCCCAAGCTGCAGGGTCCTCACAGTGCCGCCCTCCAGGGCCGAGGTGCTGGCCTCAAGGCTTGGCCACCGTCCACTCCCCTGGGTCCCTGCCCTCACACGTGTCCCCCCTTCGGCCCCTGCTGGTGTACCGWGGGGTAGGTAGGATGGAGACAGCAGGCCCAGGCCAGGTGCTGCCCGTGTCTGGAATGCAGGGCGAGGAGGCAGGACCAGTACCCAGTGGCTGGTCCCAGCTGGGAGCCGGTGACCTGGCCCCACAGTGGGGTTGCTCTGTGGCAGTCCTGCCTTAGCAGAGGACGGACTTCCTGGGGGAGGACCTTCCACAGCCTGCGGGACCTGCTTCCCGGTGCTGGGCGGCACTGCCGGGGAGGGGCAGGGGGCAGCGAGGCGGCCTCACGTGGCCAGGGCGCCAGAGAGTCTGGGAGCCATGGGGCTGGGGCCCCGCACTGGGAGACAAGGGAACGGAAGTGCCTGAGCCCGAGGAGAGGACGGGGTGGCAGAAAGGGCTTCTTTCATCGCGGTTCCCACGGTGGGAGCCGGGCCCGCGCTGGTGCCTCAGTCCCCCTGCGCAGCCGCTCGCCGAGCCCCCTCTGGCTACCCCGACCCAGGCCAGGGCACGGGCTGCTTCTGCAGTTGCAGGAGGGCGGGCCTGGGCAGGGCACGCTGGGGTCTCTCAGGGGACCCACCAGGACTCTGCCCTGCTCTGAGGCCCGGGATGGAGGGGCAGGTCCACAGTCACACCCTGCTCCAGCCCGCCAAGTCCCCCCACTCTAGGCCTCAGTTCCGACATCCACGGTCGGACCCCGGCTTTGGGGGAGCAGTGCACAGGGGCCGCCGAGTGGCCTCCGGTGGGCAAAGGCCTGGCGACTGGGGCTCACTGTCTTCAGACGACAGAGGAGGAGCCTGGGTGCAGAGCTGTTTAGAAGTCGAATTCCTGGGGAAGACAGAGACGCTGGGGAGAAGCCCCCGCCCAAGGGGCCCGGGTGGGCTGCCATCAGCGGCCAGTAGCTGGGCTTCCCCAACATGGCCTGGAGTAGTGCCCAGGGGCCTCCCAAGGGCCCATGGCAACCTGCTCGTCGTCCTGGGCAAGGCACCTCCCGCTCTGGGCCTTGGCTGCCTCATCAGTGAAGTGGGATCACGCAAACGGAGCCCCGAGGAGGATGATGGGTCCAGCAGGGGACAGTGAGCCAGGCACTGGCTTCAAGAGAGGCCTCTGTGGCCCCAGTTCTGACAAGGGCACCTTCTCCAAGCCAGCAGCTCCGCTAGGATACAGCTGGACAGTGGGGTGGCCAAGGTCACAGGTCTGGGTGGGGAAGAACACTGGGGCCCTGCAGGCTGGGTGAGTCACCAAGGGTCACATGGGGTCTCCTGACCCTGTCCCCAGGACACCGCTCATCACCACGAGTCAGGCCAGCACGGGGTCCCACTCCCTACCGGGTGTTCATCAAGGCCAGCCCCCTGCCTCCGTGCAGCCCGGCACACACCCCTGCCAGGGAGGCACACAGCCCACTGGTCTTAGGACAAGTCAGGCAGTGTCCACTGCGGCGTCACACACGATACCTCCGCAGCCACAGCCCTTGAGAGGTGGTCACCGTCACCCCCTCTTAAGGACAGGAAAGTGGAGGACAAGGTTAAGGCCACACAGTGACATTCAACCTGGAACCACAGCGCGTTCCACGGCGCTGGGCTGGAGCAGGGGGCTTGGCTTCCCCAGGCTCAGCCAGGTGGGAGGGCGCAGGAAGCAGGGGAAACAGGGCTGAGCAGGGCCCCGGGGTCCCGGGGACAGTGTCGTCTGCTGAAGACGGAGGGAGCCGCAGTCGCCAGGCCTGTGCCCACCCGAGGCCACTCGCAGCCTCGTCGCTGGGACCCAGACACAGCGGCCACTGTCTGCGGCGGGGCTGCGGCCTGTCAGGAGATTTACACCGGACCCTCTCGGCCGCGGAGTGGAGCGGCGCTGCCCGGGGTGGTCTGCCGTGAATCGGCCCCCTGTGAGCAGATGAAAGCGGCGGCGGCTGGGCAGGGAAACGGGCTGGCGGGGGGCCAGCGGGCAGGGAGGCGGTGGCGCCCTCCCAGGGCCGCCATGGGGCTTCCAGTGGCCTGGGCTTGATTAGGGGAACCCGGGAGGTCTGAGGTTAACCCCTTCCCTCCTGTGGGGCCGGCGCCCTGGCTCCCCTGGGCCTGCCCCAGCTCCTGGGCTTTGGTGGCCTTGGTTCCTGGGGTCCCGGGGGCACTGGCCTCTCCCAGCCCAGGCCTCCCTCCCCCGGTCCCCACACCCAGCGTCCAGGATGAGGCTGTGGCCACTTGAGCCTTCGCCAAGGCCTGGCTGCAGGCTCAGTCACTGCTCCTGCCCCTGCTGAGCACCCCCCACCAGCCACACGGCCCTCCCAAGGACCCTGCCCGCCCCTCTGCCTGGCCCACGCTGGGCAGCTGGCCCCGGCTTTGCTTTTCCTCGAGGGGTCTCTCGTTACCTGAAATTAAATGAAGTATTTACAAGTTTGGGTTCATTTATTCACCAAATATTTACTGAGCACCTGAAGTGCTCCTGTCTGCACCCGGGGGTCTCAGCCAGTGCCCAGCAGGACAGAGAAAAGCGCCCCTCCTCCACAGTGGGCATCACCCAGGGTGGCATGGAAAATAAATGACACAGATCAGTGAGCTGGAGGGCACAGTGGAGGGTGATGAGTGTCCGCGGTAGAATTAAGGCTGGGCAGGACCCTGCAGGTGAGGACGGCTGGGTGTGTGGCATTAAGATGGGGCAGTTGCTGAGAAGGTTGAGCAGAGCCTTCAGGGTGGGGAGGTGGGAGCTGGGCGTCACTCTGGGGGTATCTAGGGAGCAGCAGCAGTGCAAAGTCCCTGAGGCAGGAGTGTGCCAGGCAGGAGGCCAGGGTGCCCAGAGCGGGGGAGGAAGAGGGGAAAAAATTAGGTGCCATGGTGACAGCAAAACTGTTTTCCACCTCTCCCCTCTGGAGCGCAAGTCCCAGGAGGTGGGAAGCCATCAGCCTGGGTTCCCAGCAGTGTCCCCAACACATGGAATGGCACCTGACGTGGCATGGGTGGTCTGGTGTGGGTGCCCAGGGAAGCATCTGTTGGACTCATTCCAGGTACGACTTGGGGAAGAGGAGGGTCCTGGTGGAGACCCTGAGACCTCGACCCGCAGCTTCTGGGAGGACTAGAACTCGGGTCCCTCCCTTCTAGAGCCAGCCCTTCTGAACTGCGGTTCCCAAACTGGGGTCCCGGCCCACAGCTGCCACCCGCCTGCCCCGGACCCAGCTCAGCAACCTGTGTTCTCACCAGCCCCAGCGACTCGGAGGGACACCAGCCCCGGGAACCTCAGAAACCAAGGCCACACAGGCAGGAAGCCACCGAGCCAGCCTCAGACCCAGCCGGCCACCTGGCTGCAGGTCGGGCACGCTCTGCAGGGCACCCGAGGGGAACGACCCGGCCACAGAACCCACAGCCCGGCCTCAGGGACGGCAGGCTCCTGCTCCCCGGCCCCCAGGACCAGCCCCGCTCCCGCCCGCCACCCCACAAAGGCCCAGGCCTCACAGGGGCTCAGGGCTGCAGAGCAGAGCCCAGAGAGGAGACCCCGGCACAGGAGGCTGGTGACAACCCCAGGGCTGCTGGCACTTCCTGTGGGCCAAGCGCCGGAAGCTCGCGGAACCTCCCAGCTCCCCAGAGCAGGAGAACACCACACCACAGGCTGCACAGGCAGCGCTCCGGGTGGAGGGCCAGGTGGCCCACACCTCCCGGCCCCAGCCCAGCCCCGGGCACCAAGGGAGCTGGCTCTGCCTCCCTGGGCCCAGCCCCCGACCATGGTGAAGGACATCCATGGAGCCCAGCACACAGAGCCACGGTGGCCAGCAGCTTTGGAACTGGCCTCTTTCCTCTTCTAGATGGGGAGACGGAGGCCAGGGAAGTGGGAAGGTGTGTCCAGGGTCCCGGACTGAAGGCCAGGCTGGGCCAGGGCCAGGGCCAGGGGCAAGCCGGGCCCGAGGATGGGGACCAGGAGAGCCCACCCCTCCCACTTCCTGCTATTTCCTAAATGAGCTTCTGCTAAGATCTTGTTTGAACAAGTCGCATTAACGCTGCCAATCTGGCCCTTGCTCTGGCCCAGAAAGGGAGACCATCTGCCTCAGGTCACACAGCAATCCTGGCCTCTGACGCCCTCTCGGCCTGCTTCTCTCTCCTCTTTGTCTCCCTGGAACTCAGTGCCCTCTCCTCTGGGCCACTCACCCAGAAGGGGCCATCTCAGGCTGGGGAGACCCCAGGAGTGCAGGCCAGGGACTCAACTGGGGGCTCCCTGGGACAGGGCCATGCCTTTAGCTCATCCAGGACCCTCAGTAGAGGAGAGTGGGCGGGATGGGGCGGGCTGCACGGGGATCTGAGGGATGCCAGGTCCCCCCAGGGGGGTTTCTACCAAACCAAGACCCCAGAACGGGATGCTTCCTTCTTTTAGGAGCGGCCCTAAGTGCTGTGTGCGCACACACACATGCACACACACACACACACACACACACACACACACGCATGCACATGCACAGAATCCAGCAGTGGCTCCTGTCCATCTGATCCTGCCCCTGGGGACTTCAGCAGGACTGTGGCCACCTCCAGTGGAGGCTACTGTGGCCCCTCTGAGCAGGGCCTGGTTCCTGGCAGCCGCCCTATGGCTCCTGGGGAGGCTCACCATCCAGTGATGGTGGAGGAGGGGGGTCAGTGGGGGTGGGCACCGGGAAGAACAGAAGGCCAGGGACCTGGTGACTCATGAGGATTCTGACAGAGCCATTTGTTGTTCACATGTTGCCCACGGGGGGCGGGAGGGATCGTCCCACTTCACGGGTGGAGGCCCAGAGAGATCAGTGACTTGCCTTAGGATGCACAGCAGACCTGGCTAAAGCAACGGAATACCTGTCAACCCCCTGTGAGAGCACTGTCTTCCCACAAGAGCACCATGAGGTAGCTGCCTGTGTGAAYCCATTTTTCAGACAAGAAAACCGAGGCCCGGAGGTAACTGGCCCAGGGCTCGACTAACCAGGCAGGCTGGCTTGGACTCTGTTCTCTGCACCATGGAAGACCAAATGGGCTTCCCAGTGACCACTACCCTGAGACTGCTGGGCTCATGGACCCAGTTCACAGGAGACAAAATCAAGCCAAAAAGGACACGTGACTGGCGGCGGGTCACGAAGCCCAAGGCCAAGAGCATGGACCTGTCCATGTTGGATCCCAGCAGGCGGGAATTCTGCCAGAGCCGCTGGGAGCTGATGACCATGTGCAGGAGCCTCAGGGTGGCTGTAGGGGGTGACCCATGAGGCATCCCAGGGTGGCCTGGCCCTGCTCTGAGCCTGACCCAAGTGGCCGCTGCTGACCAGACTCAGGACCCAGATGCAGGGGAGCGAGGTCCCCGACTCCAGGGCCAGGCCGACTTATCTCACTGACCCGCCCTGGCACGAAACTCTCCTTCCAAGCTCCTGGGCACTGGGGAGAGGTGCCGAGCTTACCCTCCTGCCCCAGCCAGCTCAGCCAGCCATGGGAGCTGCCCTGGAAGCCTGAGGCCTGGCACGAGCCCCGATCTGGCACCCCACCTCCTCGGGGCTGCATCTGCTCTTCCTGGAGTGAGCTGACCCTTCAGCTCAGCTGTCATGAGATCCCATGCAATAAGAAGCAGGAAGGGCTTTGCTAAACTGCAGACGACCATGCTGACAAGAAGGCGAGGGACAGGCCAGCTCTCCACACCCCAGGTTGAGTGTGCCAGGGAGGGGCCGTGGAGCAGAGCTCGGAACGGGGCTCACTCAGAGGAGGGCTAGTTCATTCACTCACTCAGCAAACACAGACCCTGGCCTCCCACCGGCTTCCCCAGCGACCCGCGACTCCAGGCCCTTCAGCAGGCAGAAGGAGTCAACCATAAACTCTGGGGGACTGAGACCCCTGGACACAGCAGATGCTCAGGACATATCTGCAGAACAAATCTGCATTGGTCTCCTCTGGTGGGTGGGTCCTGGGACAGTGCCTGGGCTCTGAGACTTGAGAGTCAGATGCTGAGATTTCAAGAGGCAGTTTGAAAGGGGCCCTGGCTTTGCTGCCTGCCTGACCCCTGCCTGTGGATTACCTGCCCTCAGCCACGGGCAGAGGAAGCTGGAGTGCGGGAGAACCTGGCCAACCTGTACCCCAGACCACCCCGGCTCCCACGTCGTATCTGAAGCCTCCTCCGCTCTAATTTTCCATTCCTTGTCCCCCTGCTGTCCACCCCTGGGCAAAGGGGTCACCCAGCTGGTTCGGCGTCCAGCCCCAGCCTCCCATCTCCTCCCCGGCCTCCCACAGCCTGGCGCTGTGCCCACAGGGAACTTGCCGGCAGATCCACGTGTGGGGGGCATGTGTAGAGCCGGGGACCCCGGCCCCACCTGTGCCCCAGGGGTCCAGGGACATCTGTCTGACCCTGCTGCTGCCCTTCCCCCACTGGCCCTTGCTCCCGGGCCTGGGGCTCAGTGACACTTACGTCTGGGCTCCCGGGGTCCATCCACGGTGACCTTGATGGCTCGGTGGTAGGTGGCCACTTGGGTGGGGTTGGTGAACACAGTGATGGTCAGGGTGAAGCTCTTTCCTGGGGGGACAGAGGAAGGAGGTTGGCACCTGAACTCAGTACCCTGGACTCCCACGCAGATCCCGCCCCGGAAGCCCCCGACTCTCGGGCAGGGGCAGGTCTCTCCCCTTGAGTCCCGGGCAGAAGATGAGGCTCTGGATGGAAGTCAAGCTGCTGGGTTTGGCCTTCCCGGTCCCTAGGGGACTGGCACGAGCCGTCACGTCCCCCATSGTCACCCTGGCTCCTTCCTGTATCCTGGCCTTTCTGTGCGATTTCAGGGACCCACATGATTTTGGAGTGGGGGGRGGCAAGGAGACACGCTCACGCTCACACTCACACTCAACGTGTTTTCTGAAAGCTGTGACCTTTGTGGAAAATTCTGAGCACAAAGAAATCATAAAAAAAAAAAAACCAGTAGCAGACCCTCCCGGTCGCTCCACTACCTAGAGGTCACCACCGTCACCCTCTTCTCCGCCAGGCCTCTCTGCGTGACTCTGCGTATTCACATGGTGGCAGTGGGACCCAAATATGTTTTCATCCCCAGCGTTTTTTTCCCCTCTTAATTTGACATCTCATCAGAAGCACTTTCTCGTGTCATTAAAACGTCTTCCCAGGCTTCCTTCCTTAGTGGCTGCGGAACACTCCGGGCTCCTCCTCTCTGTCCCCKGACCCTCAGGTATGCGCGCGCTGCCCATTGCTCGCTGGCGGGCGCAGCCCCAGCTGGGGAAGGACAGACCTGGGAGCTGCAGACATTTCATTCTGTAGACACAACTGTTATTTCCAGAGCCCTGTTCTATTTTTAGACACACATTTGGCTCCAAAGTCTCCATTCAAAATTCCTGAGAGGGGGAAAAAAAATACCTTTAAAATAATACTGAATAATACCTTTTTTTTTTTTTTACCATTTAAAATAAAACAAAAACGACCTTCTGTGTAGAGAAATCTCTGTCTGCATCTCAGTTATTTCCTTAGAATAGATTCCAAGAAGTGGCGAGCGATGGCAGCGCCTGGGCCGGCCGGGGACAGACGTGCTTGCGGGCGCTGGTCTCTGCGCGAGATGACTCTGCGGCACCACATCACCCGAGGGCCGTCCGGGCAGCGACCCTGTCTATCAAGATGGAAGATCTCCAGGCCCTCTTCTCTGTCTTCCGCGATTAGTGAGAATGAAACTGAGGCGCCTGGTGTCCAGGATCCCACAGGCCGCTCTGGCTCCCCTCTGCTCCCCTGAGCGGGTTTGAGTGCCCTGAACCATCGCTGTGCATCAAGGTCGAACATTTTCCGTGTGGTCTCGGTGGCCCTCAGCCCCCCGGCGGTGGACCTCATTTCGCCAACACCGCGCCGGCCTCGGTTTCCGGCTCTGCACCCGCCGGTGACTTCGCCGGGTTCCCAGCAGAGGGCACRGCCTGTGCTTTCTGGAGTGACTTCCTGGACGGGTCTGGGGTGGCTGGCTGTGGGGGTCTGGGGTGAGGGGCTTCCTCCAGGGCCGCCAGTTCTTGTAGGAGTCTTTCTTCTACCCTGGCCTCTGCTAAGCTCCGAAGCGCCACGCAACTCAAGATGGAGGGAGCTTCCTGGTCCCCAAGTCAGACCTCACCTCGCCTCTTCTGTGTGCCTACCCGTCTCTGGAGCTCAGTCAAGGGCCTGGGAAGTCCCCGAGGGCGGGGACCGAGGGCCGAGCGCACCCTGCCCCCCCAGCTGGGCTGCAGTGGGAGCCAGGGGTTCCCTGTGTCCTGCCCACAGCCCTGGAGGCCAGCAGGCAGGTTTCAGGGGCCAGCAGGCAGGTTTCAGGGGCCAGCAGGCAGGTTTCAGGGGCCAGCAGGCAGGTTTCGGTAGCCCGCCCCCAGGTGGGGGACCAAGCAGGGTGGGCCAGTCCTCGTGCTCCTGGGGCGGCTGGTCTGGCTGGCTGAGTGAACTTGTGAATGTCCCCTCCCTTCCCAGCCCAGGAGCAGCCTGAACAGAGTCAAACCAGGCAGGTGGCAGGAGCCGGGCCCACGACCCCGATGGCTTCAGATGCAAGGGAGAATTCAAAGCCAAAGAGTGGCCAAGCTGGGGGTCCACCGGGAACTAGGGGCYTCCTGGATGGGGCCGTGGAGCCGGGGGCTGAGGGGATAGAAATACTAAGGCASTGCCCCCCGGGTCCCTGAGGCAGAACAACCCTGGACCCCCACTCTCGGGCCACAGGGGCACTTGGCAAGATTTCTGCAAAGAGCAAGTACTGACCATCTAGGGAAATGCAGGGTAGGTGACTCCTGGACACTTCTKCCCCTCGCTGTGAGGCCATCTCCACCCTGGACCCCTTCCCCACAAGAGCCAGGCGTGCTTGGGGGGTCTCAGACTCTCCAGTCGTTTCCCGCACCACCTGGATTGCATGGGTCCTTGCTGATGGCCTGACCGGACACTGAGGACCCACGGGTCCCCATCCTCTGCTGCTCGACGGTTTACTAAAGTGCTCCTTCAGGTCTGGACTGAAAAGTCACCTTCTCAGTGAGGGCTTCCCTTGTCACCTTCTCGGATGTAGGYTCTTCTAGGGCCGGGGTGCGGCTCGGTGGCAGAGCGCCTGCCCAGCACGCACAAGGCCCTGGGTTCCATCCCCAGCGCCACGAAATAAATACATAACAATAAAATAGGCATCTTTAATTTTGGCCTCCTCGGGGGACCTTCTTACCACTGAGTAGGCTTGTGAACTGGGACAGGAATGGTATTGTCCCCAACCTCTAACTGAAACCTAGCATCTCTCAAGTAAGAGCGTCAGCAACAAACCGCAGAGYTGCAGGCTGTACCTGCGACCTTGTCACCAACAGACAGCAGACACYCCCGTCTCATGTTACAGCCCGTGCAGATTTCTCTAAATACTTTCGTGCTCATCACAACTTCAAAATCACCGTGGTCATCAGACCCGGTGCTAGCTCTCAGCTCTCGTCMTTTGACATGTTGAACAGAGCACACGCTTATCACAACTTCTTCAGCACCTTGCTGTTTGGGCACAGCGGGTGGCCCTGCCATCTATTGCTTATTTTACACCAGAAGCTGCTGGCCTGGTCACTGCAGCCTCCCCCAGCCCCCTCCATTCCCTGCACCTGTGTGAAATTCCCCGGGGAAGCCCATTGGCTTTAATAATCCATCTGCTTATTTGTTTTTCTTTGTCTCCCTGTACTAAACTGTAAGCTCCTGGGGATGAGAATTTATGCCTTGTTCACTGCTGTGTCCCCAGCCGCTAGCATCGGGCACGTAGTAGGTGCTCAATAAACATGTGTTAACTGCAGTCAGCACAGAAATGACTGGATAAGAAAACTGGGCCTCACAGGGGGAGGGGCAGGGAGTTGACGAGGTCGAGCAGAACCCAGAAAGGTTAGAATGTGCTAGAAGCTGCCCCTCTACACAGGTAGTAAAGACCCACTTCTGTGGAGCCCCTGCCCCATGGAGTAGCAAACCACATGCCACCAGAGATCACTGCATGCCTCTGCAGCTTCCCCCCAGCTTCCAGACCTGTCACCACCCCGCCAGGTATCCACAGAGAGGAATGAGTGTCAGGAGGACCCAGGGTCTGGGGTCTGGGAGCAGGAGTGGAGGGGAGAGCAGGGACCTTGGGAACCAGGGGAAGGAGAAAGCCATCCCCAAGGGCCCTTGTCTCTCCCTGGCCCTGCCCAGCTCTCAGGGGACCTCTGGGTCTTCTCAGCATTGGCCAAGACATCCTCATCCCTTCCCTGGTTAGTGGCTCCCGGGCTGCACCCACACACCTGGCCACTCTCTCCACACACTGCTGTCCCCGGCAGCCAGTTAGTGGCAGTTCAGGGGCTCATGCGACTCGTTTGTGCTGAGGCCAGTGGTCACTTCCTAGAGGACAATCTGGGGATCTGGGGTGGTGCATTGTCCAGGAAGCACGACKGAACGGACCCTTGGAGGTGGGGTGGGGGCAGCCGTAAAAGCCCAGCACTGCGCCAGACAGGAAGAAGCCATTTTTTTTTTTCTAGGAGGAAAAAACTTGCTAAAATTCCCTGAGCCCTGAACCCAACTCAGTTTTCATAGAATAAGAAAAATAGTTATTGCACTTTCAATATCTATGGACTTTTCTAGAAGGGAAGATAGTTTCTTTTTTTTTTTCCTTTTTAAGCGGCAGGGTGCTTGCCTAACATGTGTGGAACCCAGGTTGGTGACTTGGCATTGCATAAAAGAAAAAAAAAATTGTCCCWAACTTTGCCAAGAGTGTTCACATCTTTAGAAAATCGGGGCATGGACAGTGAGGCTGTGTTCACACATGGAGTCCTTAACCCTGACCGCTCTGTTTCTGTGGCCACCATGGGGCCAAGGGCCTTCTCCACCCTAGACAACTGGAGTCTGGCCTTGACACTTACACAGTCAAGTCAATATTTTATTGTAAGTTACTTTCCTGTTTTTCCTGCACCGTAGCTAAGGTACGATTTGGATTTTGCAACCGTAAGTAGGTAGACCGTGGTGTCTGCGGTGTCAAGCAGGAGAAGGGCATACTACCACAGGCCACCCTAGGAAAGGGGCCTGCGCCTGGCGGGCGGGAAGCCCGGCCCTACCTGCTGCGGGAGGCAGCTGGGCCTGGTTTTCTTTCCAGTCCTTGGGGGGGGGGGGTCCACACTTGCAGCCGGAGGTCAGAGCTCTGTGGGGTGTCTTTTTGGAAGCTATTCTCCAGGGAGTTCAGAMAGAATCCAGGGATTTTTAAAATGGAGGAGTGAAGCAGAAACTTCCACCTGAATTCTTAGTCCTGGCTAAAGTCAAAAGGGTCAGGGAGGGGTCCTGGGTCCTGAACCCCAACCTGTCCTGACTCAAGTGGCTCAGACTCCCTGTCAATCACAGTTGGTCCTCTGGTGGGAATTTCCCAGTCAGCAGGACGGGCACAGCYGGGGTGTGGCTGCAGCCTGAGCCCYGGGACCCTGAGCCCTCCCTCGACACCTCCACCTCTCCCACTGAACACTCACACCTTCTGGGTTTCCCCCACCCCCGCCCAAACCACACTGTAATCAGAGAATCAGTGACTGTCACCGCTCAAAGGGACCTCAAAGGCTTCCTCCAGTCCCAAGCATTTGAAGTAACAAAATCTCTAACATGTATCCAGGTCTCCGTGGGAGCCCACGGACACACTTACATCGACTCCCTTAATGAAGYGGCTACCATTTTCAGACCCATTTTACAGACGAGGAAACCGCAGCACAGAGAGGTGAAGCCACTTGCTCACGTCCTCCAGAAAGTCACKAACATGGCTGGGACTCAATCTGGGGCTGGCAGGTTCAAGCCCAGACTCTTAAAAGACCAGGAGCCCCCGAGGGCTGAACCACAGGTGCCGAACTCCTGCAGGGGCTCCCCACCCCTGCTCAGCCGCAGAGACTCCTCAGAGACTGGACGTGAGAATGGTTTATAAATGGCTTCCAGCACCTTCCAGAGCCACAGTACCAGCCCCAGCCTTGCCCACTCCTAGAGCAMGCAGGTCAACGGTAATCTGGAAACCTCTCTCCTTCCCTGTAAGCCTCGGGTGGCAGGCACAGGTCTGTGGGCACGGGAGCCACTGAGAAAATATTTTCAGTGTGCAGAGAGGCCGGATGAGGTCTCAGTAAATCAGAGACTCATCACCTCTCTTCCTTCCACATCTCACCTCCCAGAATGCGGACCAGGGAAGGAGGGAGAGGGAGGCAGCAAGTCCCTGATGCCCTGCTGGGCTCCCGAGACGACCTCCCTTCTTCCTGCTCCCTAGGGAGGCAACCACAGTGGCCCCAAACCACCCCCAACACACACCTGGGCCATCCTGGCCCCGCCACCAACCTGCCACGGGGACTCTTCACTCAAGGCCCAGGCTGGGATTAAGTTGCAAAGGGTTTGAGGGATTGGGGATGACAAAAGGGGCTTGGAGACTAATTAGGAGCAGCAATGAAAGCTTAATTCATAAAAGCAAACATTTTCCATCCGTCAACCTGCAACCAGTTAAGGGCAACGTTTGAAAGAAATCTGTGCGCGGGGAAGGAGCCAACAGGAACAGGAAATGTCTGAAAGAATGTAAACTATTTCAGTTTCATAAAAAGTAACAAGTAAACAGTTATTACATGCAAATAATGCCCTGGTTTTAATTAATGCTGAAAAGTCAAAATATGCTTGACGTCTGTGTGTATACATTGAGCGGCTGGAGAGGACAAAATGGTGCCCAGATGCCCGCACGGGAAGGGCTGGCGGCTCCCAGGGAACTAGGACCTTGAGAAGGCCTCGCTGATTGGTGATGAAAAGTACAATTCGGCTCCAGCCTCGGCTGCAGCCCGGGAGTCGGGACCCGGAACCGGCTCGCGCCTGAGCTGGAGGGGCTGCAGCTCAGCCCGCTCCCTGGGCAGGAGGATCTTAAAGGGCCAGCAGCGGGCCAGCAAGCCTCTGTTCACCAGGGCAGGGTTTCTAAGGCTTCTCCACCCTGGAGTTAAGTGATGATGGGTTTCAGGTCCCTGCAATCTCCCCTCAACAGCCCCAGGCGGCAGCCACTGCGGTGTCCTCCACTGCCCCTGGAGATGAGACCACAGGGTGGCAGGGACCTCAAGCGGTGCTCTCCAAAGTTATGCATCCTAACCTCCTTTTTTCTCTTCTGTTTAAAACACCTGAGGGCTCAAAGAGCTGCTGGGGAGACAGCCGGAGAGCTCCTGCCCCAGGGAGGGGCACAGTGGCTGAGACATCAAGGGTATGTCCTCCAAGCCCCCAGCCAAAAGGCCCAGAGCTCCCTTTGGGAGCCCCTAAATCCACAATCTCCCCCCCCCCCCAGCTTCTTCCCTGAAACCCGTGGTGCTTAATGGGGAGAGGGGAGGCCTGGGAGGCTTCAGGAGCTAGCAAACCTCGGAATCTGGGAGAAAGCGGGGTCTTTTTCTGTCGAGAGACCGTTACTTTCCTTACCCCCTCAAAGGGGTCTGTAACGCCCTAACCAGGACGACTGCAGCTTCAGACAGCAAGGCCTGGAGACCTGCTCCTGCGGCTCCGGGGCCCCCACCCCACGGCCTCTCTCTCGGCCTCCGAGCCCCACCCCTGCCGTCCCTGGTGAGAGCCTTCCCCTCACCTCGTCCACTGCGGCCCACAAAGCGAAGGTCGTTGAACCTGGCCACCTGGTTCTTCATGACCGCCGAGGCATTGCGCAGCTCAGCAGAGTAGTTCTCRTCGTTGCCGGCCATCACGGTCACCACGGTTCCGTCCGGCACATCTCCCAGTGCCACCACCTGAGGACACCAGGCAGGAGGGACAGCTTAGAAAGGCAGAGGGAGGCAAGGGATGAGAGGAGGGGCCGGCCGCCAGCAGCTCCCCAAGGTCCCCGGCGGCCGGCGCACTGCGGATTTCTCAAATACAGAGAGGGAAGGGACTTAAAGCTAATGAAGACCTTCCCTCAACTAGGACAAAATCAAGGACGTAAAGTCTGCCACCTCCCACACCTAAGTCCTAAGTCAACTGGCTAACCCGTGTCCCAAGAAATCATCCTTCCAATTCCATGAAACCCAAGCACGAGCTGCGGATGCCTTTGGTTACCGAGGTGGGTTGTAGTTCCCCTGTTGTCCTCGGCTCGAGCAAAAAGAGGAATCAGTATGCGCCTAGCAACCAAGTCTCTAAGTAAAAAGAATATCAACAATAATAACAGAAGTGCTCCTTGCACTCCGTGCACGCAAGAGCCGTTTGGGGCATGCAATTTGGTCCTGAAATGTGGCCCAGGCCCGATGGACTGGCTTCTGCAGAGCCTGGGTTCGTTAGGAAAAGAAAATACAAAATACAAAACAAACTGCCGCTTTGAGAGAGGTCACCCAGAAAGCCCCTTTAAAGCAAGAGAGGGCTTCTGAGAGCAGGAAGATGCACCTGCTGGGAATTGCAAGACGGTTGGAGATGTCCTCCAGTGCACCAGCCCCCCCAGCCCCCACCCCAAAGGAGCACCGAGAGGCAGATGCCTTTTAAAAAGGAATCAGACTCCAAACAGAGTCACAGCCATTTAAACGTGGCTGCCGCGTGCAGGGACTCCGGGATCCAGATGGTAAAAATTTCAAGGAGAAAATGTTTGGGGTCTGATTAAAAAGGCCAGATTTCCTGTCAACATCCTGTCTTCTTTTAATTTCAAAGATTCCTTTTAAGCTCCAAGTGACAGTAAAACCTCCGATCTGACGATTACAGTCACACGGGCCTCCTCCCCCTCCTCCCCGGGAGATTTTCCCCGCTGGTATTTTAAGATGTCACCCGGGAGACCTCAAAGAGCCACTCATCCTTTTTTCCCCCCCAATTCGGAGTCGTCTTAATGGGAGTAGGGACGGCCTCAGCTGCCAGCAGCTGCTGTTTCCAGCCACCTCGGGCACCACCACCTCCCTAGCCGCCGGCCCTTCCTGCCCTGCCCTTTCTCACRGCAGCTGTGAGAGGTTTAGGGGAAAACCAAGGCGTTTTTCGTTTCATCTCGCTGCCCCCTTAAAAAAAAAATGAAAATGAAACAGTCTCCTACTCTCTAGCATAGAGGAAAAGACTCTCCAAATGACTAGGGGCTACCAGGGGTGGGAGCCAGCACCCCACTCCCAGCCTGTCACTGGGGATGCAAAGATCCCGGGGACAATCCTTTAGGGTGCAGTGCCCCACTCCCAGACCCAGGGTCGCCGGGTGTAAAATTTCAGAAGCCCAGAGGTTGAGGGTGTGAGCAGGAAGTGTTTCGGTAGCGGCGCACAAGGCGGGGTGCTGGCGGCAGAGGCTAGGCCCTCTTCACCCTCCTCGCTCCACCTCCGGTGCCCTCGCCGGTACGGGGTCCTCTTCCCGGCAGCCCAAAGGACTGTATCCGAGGGACCCCGATTCAGGAGAACGAAGCCCCATTCGGCCGTTTCCGCCTCAACGTCTCTGCGTAGGGCTCCACGAAGCCCAGGTGGAGGGGAGCCAGCCCCTAGAAGTCACCGGCTCAGGGCGCAACCCCAGGGGAACGCCGAAGTCCCCGTGCCCAGCGCACAGCCGGGCAGCAGCTGCCCAGACCGCGGCCGCAGAGTCTGGGCCACATCCCTTCCCCACTCCTGGCAGCTGGGACGCGCGGAGCCCCACGGCCGTTGGATCCCGCCCCAGGCCCCGCACTCACCTTGAAGGCGACCGGCAGCGTCTTGTTGCAGCGCCAGTGAGAGGGCAGGACGGAGCAGAGGAAGTTGGGGCTGTCGGTGCGCACGAGCTCTCCCGCGTGGTCCGCCAGCACGTCCACCATCGAGCGCACTTCGGGCCGGGCGCGCCCGCCGGGCCCCACGGCCGCCTGCGCGCTCAGCGCGCCGCTGTTCTCGCCCATCTTGCCGCCGCCGCCGCCGCCGCAGGGGAAGGCCGTGGAGGGAGGTGTGAAGCGGCGGCTGGTGCTCGGGTCTACGGGAATACGCATAACCGCGGCCGTCAGGGCGCGGGGCGGCGGCGGCGGCGGCGGCGCGGGCGCCTCCTCGGCCGCCGCTGCCGCGCGAAGCGGGAAAGCAGAAGCGGCGCGGCCGCGGCCTCAGGGCACAGGGGACGGCGCCCGTGGCCGCCCCACCGGGCCGGCCCGCAGCGAGGCCTCGCAGCCCCGACCGACGGCCGCGCGCCGCCGCACGCTAGTCCCGCATCCCGGGCGCGCGGCCCGCGTGCGGCCGACCCTCGCAGCGTCCGGGCCGCCTGGGCCACGGCGGGGCACGCGCGGGCTGTGCCGCCGCCGCCGCCTCCTGCCCCGCAGCCCGCGCGGCCGCCCCACCGATCGGCGGCCGCAGCCCAGCGCAAAACCTAGAGAATCAAGTGGCGGCGCCCCGGCCGCCCGCGCGGGGTTAGTACCCCGGGGCCCGCGGGGCGGGGCCCGCCCGAGCGACGCGTGGCGCAGCCAATCGGAGCCCCCATCGCGGGCACCTCGGCGGCGCTCGCGGGGGAGGAACGGGCCCGCGAAGGCTGCGCGGCGGGGAGGGGCCGAAGGCCCCGCCCCGAGGAGGACGCCCGGGGTCGAAGGCCCCCGGGCTGTTGCCCAGGCCCCCGAGGGTTGTGAGCAGCCGGGGACAGTGGTGGAAATCGGTTTGGACAGTCCGGACTGCTCGGAAGGCTCTCTGGCCCTGGTCCCCAGGTGGCATCTCCCTGACGCGGGGCCGCAGCCCTTCCTCCTGCTCCCCGCCTGTCGCGGCCGGGCTTCCCCTACTCTAGCTGCTTTGGGCAGGTGACGCCTGAATCCTCAGCTGGGCGCCCAGAGACCCCAAGACTGGTGACACCGCGCGGGAAGTAGCCCCAAAGAGACCACACGCCCAGCTCTGGCCCGCAAACTATTTTGATCTAAAAGCCGCCACTGCACACGGGGTTCCACGTGCCCTGCGCGGCTCTGGTCCCTGCCTCGGTGGCCCCGATGCCAATCTCGAGACAGACGGAAGGGAGTTCCCCACCGGCCCTCAGTCGACCGAGGCTGACCACCCCGTTTCTCTCTACTTTCCCCTCAAAACAAGTTTCAGGATGGCGCAGGCCTCGTTCTTCTTTCGTTGTAGCGACCCGTGGCTCTTTGAAAAACGTGCTGGGGCCTGCAAAACGCATGCTTTCCGGATTTGTTTCCTCCACGCAAGTCACCACCGTCCTGCATCGTGGAAAAGGACGCAGGTCCGTGACCAGAAGAAAACTGCGGAGAGGACGCACAGCTCAGGGCCCCGCTTCCAGAGAAGGGGATTTTCTTTCTCCCTGAGATGGAAAGTGGTCCCCGTGGGCGGATGCGCTCTGGGCCGCTCTGCGAGGACCTCCGCGGTGCTCTGGCCCTGCCTACCTCTGGGCTGGGCGTCTCTGCTCTCACTCCCAACCTCTCTGGGCTTCACTGCTAACAGACCTTTCCTCTCCCGCTTCCTAGGCCAAGATTTGGGGCCTAAGACGGGATACAGTGGGGAGGGGAATCGGAAAAATCAAGCCCCCTTTCAGTCGGCATCATCACCCGAGATGCGCTCCCTGGGCTCTGGTGAACGCGTGCCGAGCCTCCCGGCGCTTTGGAGACTGGGCTGGATATTCGTTGCCTCTGGCGCTGGACAGGTGCAAAACGACAAATTCCCAGCCTCCGCAGCAAAGCATCAGAGAGTCTGACGGAGGTGGTAAGATCTTGTCCTGGACCTGACCTTTGCCCAGCGCAGGCCATTTCATCCTCGCCAAACGAAATCAAGCCGCCAGTGCTCTCCAGGGGGATGGGCTGTGGCCCAACCACCACCACCACCTGGAGAGCTGGCCGGTACACCGCTCTCTGGGCCTCATCCTAGCCTGTCAGGCCCATTCCGAAGCAAGGACAGTGGGTGGTCTCTTACTGGACCTTTATAGAGAGACGACTCCTTGGAGTTGTCGGTGGCCGGGGCCAAGGCGCACGTGTCCTCGGAAGCGCTGGCAGGAGCCGCAGAACCGAGGAAAATGCGGTACCAGACCCTGGCTGGTCGGACCTCTGGAGCTTCCAGGAGAAAGACCCACCTGGGCGTGGCCAGGTAGGGCCCAGGGTCTGAGGCCCGTTCTTCCCCGGAGCGGCGGTGGAACCATGACCTGCCGCTTCTAGGATTTGTAAATTCCATTCGTGGAGTGGTTTCTATTTGCAGCCATGCCCTTGACTTGTCCCTCCGCCTGATTTCTCCCTCTCCCTCTATGGAGAATTAACAGACGGGTTTCCAGAAAAGGGGACTCTTGTGGGTCCCAGCACCCGGCCCAGGACCCGGCACAACTCCAGCCCCCGGGAAGGCTCTCGGCTGGTGGATGCCAGAACCAACTGACTGGGGTGGCTGGCACTCGGGTCCCCAGCCAGAGGTCGCGGGGGGCCTCCAGGGGAAGGAGTAGTGGCTGGAGCCACCGCTAGTTGGCGCCTGCGCCCTGCCAGCCGCGGAGTTGCCGGGCCTGGCCCTCTGCACACATGTGTGCCAGCTGCGGGCTTCCTCCTGTGAGCTGCCTTTTTGGATAGACTGCCCATCCGATTCCACGCCAACGGTGCGACCACGTCTTGGACCAACGGTGGCTTAGTGTCAGACGGAAGGCCGCGCCTTCCCCACCTCCCACGGACTGACGCTATTGCCTTCGCATCTGGAGCCCCAGGAAGGTCCCGCACCCTCCCACCAGCAGAACTCCCCAACCCCCACCAGAAACGCACGGCTCTTTCGTTCTGGGAGCGGGGCGGGACCACGGAGAGACAGGCCTGCTGGTTCTCCATTTCCCACACCCAGGCTGCTTCCTCGCCTCCTGGAGTTTTCTCCACCAACCCCGGGTGCTCAGCACCCCTCTCTCCATCCTGCATGGAACGTCATCTCCTCTCCCTTCTGCCCCACAGATGGACAAACGACCCACTTGGTCTCAAATGGCCCCTGCCTAAGAGCACCCTAGGGTCCATGCAGAGTGAGGAAGTGCCAGGGCCTGTTGCCCCTGAAGGAGACCTTTGGCAAGCCCCCTCCCTCTGCTCTGTGGGACTCACACCTCCCATCTAAGAAATGTCCAGATCTCACATTCAAAGCTGGCCAGGACTCACAGAGCTGGGTTTCCCAGGCTGCCTGGGGAGGGAAGGACCATCTGGTTCCAGAGTGCCACCACCCTCCCCCCCCTTCCCCAGGAGGGACCAGGTCCATCCCAAATATCCCAGGAGCCAGTGAAGAGAGGGCAGAACACTCTTCCCAAAAGGCATTTCTCCAGTCGTCCCCCTGGGGAGGGACCAAGGTGGAACCTGTCTCCTGCCTAGTGCCCTGTCCCTCCCTGAGCCTCAGACTCTGTTAGTGGAGGTAATTCTAACAGCTCCAGCTCACAGTGTGGGGGAGTAGAGATTCCCTCTGGGAGGAGAGGGACTTTGTGTTTCAGTGTATCTCAAATGCCATTATCGTTTACTGTGAGAGAAAATGTGACCGAGTCAACCGGGACTCCTGTGCAGCCCAGTTCAGACACGTGTATTCACATAGATTTGGATATTATACAGGAGCATAAAATGTATTGTCTAACATCTGTGTGTATATATGTATGAACACATTGTGTACCCTACCCTGGTGTATATATATATGTAAGTAAATTTAAAACTTGTGAGAAATACTAATGAGAATAGTAATGTGTCTAAGTTGAAGCTTGACTCCTGCGCCGTGGAATCAGCTCTGGGGTCATCCCTCCTGGGTGCCTTTTTGGAGAGACTGCCCCTCCGATTGTCTGAAAGGATCCAGAATCTCGGGAGAGGACAGCTGTGCTTTCCAGACACAGTTTGGATTTGTCTGAAAGGGCAGGACTCGGAGGGGAGAGAACCCTGTTTGGAACTGCTGATTCCACTGTCGATGGGCCGGGTGGCCCTGGCCCGGTCCTGCACCCTCTGGTGGTCGGGGGCAGCCAGGCTTGCTGGGTCTGACCACGTGTCTGGCCCAGTTGAATGAAAAGGGATGTTGCCCCCGTCCACCAACAGGCAGGACCAGAGTCAGATAAAAAGCCTGCTCTGACTCCAATGTGAGGGCTGGGGGCCCCTGAGGTCCTGCATGTCACCCTCTCGTCCCCTGGCTGAGAGGACTCACGCACACGAGCCATCGAGGTGGTGGTGACCAAGAGGAGGTAGAATCTGTAGAACAGCCATGACCCTGGACATCAGCAGACCCTTCAGGCCCGTTGGAAGACAGGGTTGGCCAGGGTCACGAGGGAGGGTCCCAGGGTGACGTCTACCCACAACCGCCCTCCTTCTGCCTTGGGACTTCTGGAGAGGGCACAGGCTGGCACCCACTCTGAGGCAGGGAAAGTGGGGAGAGGCTGGACCAGGGTCCTGCTCCCAACCTGAGCAAGGCCAGGGCAAGCCCTGTGGCCCCGCTGGAGCCAGCACTTGGCCATGCAGTGTGGCCTTGGGCTGGATGGGACCCCAGCACTTGGCGCTCCAGGGGCAGGACGGAGCCTCCCGCCTCCCTCTGGGCCTCCGTGTCCCCACCTGAACAAGCAGGCTCCTCTGTGACCTTGGTGGGAGCCTCTGCCCCTCCAGCACACCCAGCACCTTGCCACCTCCTGGGGGCTTCAGCACCCTGGGTCCCTGCTGCCTCAGATCCCCTCCCTCACTCCTCCCCCACCTGGGTGTGACCTGAGGGGGCGCTGGGCCTCAGGGATGTTAGGGGGAGGGAAGGGGAGAGGGGCGGTCAGCTTGCTCCTGCCCCAGCAGAGCACACAGGCCCCACTCCCCAGGACCCCAGAGGTGGCTTCTGGATTCTGCTGCCCTGGTCGGGCCTGATTGTCCTCTCTGCTCCTGACTTTGGGGAACTATACGTTGAGAAAATAATTCTAGTTGGAAATGACCTCAGTTATTGGTCTGTGGCTGATCAGTGCCCTGGTTTTTGGACACCCAATGGGTGCGGAGTTTCGGACCTCGGGGTGCCTCTGCAGGGCAGGGTTTACTCTCTCCGCTTCAAGGAGTGGGA